TAGTGTCAAATACATTCGATTGCCCTCACTGGTGTTTTGTTCACTACATTATAAACTTTGATAATTTTTATAATCTTCCCTATATTGACTTTTTACATTACTTCGTAATTCAATCGTATGAATAAATGTTTGCTAGAAATTAAATACTAGAAAAAATATATATATACTTTTTAAAGATCATCATAAGTCAGCTGTTCACTGTTCGATTGTTGTAAAGTAATTTGTCTAATTTAGAATATGGTTAGTGATTTAGATTCAATTCCAAATGCATAGATGAATATTCACTCATCTTTCTTTTAGATTGGTTCTGGAAGAGAATGATGATGATCAGTTAGGATACACTAAATGGAGTTAAATCTAGGCCTGAATTAGAGACGAAGACTCTGAGAAGCAGGAACTGAGTGTGAGAAAGGGAGGGAGAGAGAGAGAGGTTAAGTTAGATCGCACCAAGCCATCAATCCAATTCACTGATTGTATATTATGAAGTCTGGCAGTTCTTGTTCTGTGTGTTTCCAAATTTTACAAATAATTTTTCCAGTCAGTATAATCATTTCATTCTTCCTCTTTCAATTACTCAATTAATCACTTTACATTATTTTCATAATCACTCAGTACTACTACTCAGCTATTATCGCTTTATTGTTGTAAATTTTTTTATATATATAAAGAGAGATAGAGATCCATGATGAAAAACTAATTGAAAGGAATATTCCTTCATTCTGTTCGTCTTTTTGTTATTCTAACCTCGTCGACCGACATCTATAATCAGACACGGTATCGATATACTGAATCTTCAGACTTCCCTGTTATTATTATACCGCGGCACTATTGAAATGAAATTCAATTATCCGCATTCATAAAATTATAGCTGATTCTAATCGATCATAATCAATGCTAAACTAACTCACTATTGACATTTTATCCCGTTACAGATCATTTGACTGAACATTAGTTCAATGATCTTCATGTTTCACATAGCTCATTAAAAAAATTAAATCAAAATTGTTGCAAGCTTAATAAAAGAAATCACTTCAAAATTCACCATTTAATTTTTAATTTGAACGTTTCTTAACATTTATATATATACTAAACAGAGATGGATGGTGGTTAGCAGTGGAATCCAGGATGCATGTTTCCTCCCATTTTGGACTCGTTAATCGTAGGTAACTGAATTTCAAAGTTGATGTTCACCAATTGACGAGTCTTAAATAGGACAAAAAATGAGTCCTGAATTTTACTGCTAGACATCATTTATCCCTTTCTACAATGCTTATAACTTAATGGTAATATCGAGATAATTCTCACAAGATCCACATAAGCCAAAAAAACAACTGGTCAATTGTAGTCACAAACATTATTGGCTTGATTCAAGTGATCAATACAAATTTTATGCAAACATTTGTTCAAGTTTAACCACCCACTATGGTGTTTTCGGTAAGGCTTAGCTTGTTACCGACCCTCCACCCGCAAAAAAAATTATTTACTTCAACTCGTCAATACAAAAAATATATAAGTGAAATAATAATTAACAATATATGCATTAATAAATCTCTCAGTAACTAAATTAATTATGATTTGATAATTGCAAGAAATGATTGGTATAGAAAAATGGAAATAAATAAAATCTTTAGAAGTAAAAGGAGGATTTGTAGAGAGTCTAGTTCCATACTTGAACAAAATAGCCGTTCACTACATCTATGTTTTCAGTAGTGGTCTAGTTAAAATCAGTGTGTGATTTAAACTATGAAAATAAATATTTCATTCACATACGTTGATTGACTGAAATAAATCAAGATCGTAGTGTATAATGTGGACACTCAAACACTGATTATGCAATGAAATTTATGATTTCCATGTGGAAACTATTTATGTGATTATCTGATTGGAAAATACAGGATGAAAACTAATTTTTTAAAAATAATAATGTAACGATAACAACAACATCAACAACACGAAAACTGACAAAATAATAAACGACAGTCAATAAATCTGTTGTTGTGTTTGTTGTCTTTTCTCTCTCTTTCTCTTTAAAGAACACCTAGACTTAATGAATCTCCTTAGAAATTAAAAAAAATTGCATTGGAAACAAATAAACCAATAAGTTATTATATATGTTGTTGTCTTTTTCACTGTATATTTGATCTCCAACTGTGAATCAACTAATTACTACTTTGCATTGAAATCACGAACCAATCAATGTTAGATCACCATTAAAATCTGGGAGCACTGGACGCCCACTTCGTTCTAGTATGAGACTTCTCAGCACTGTGTAACCACCGTCCCGAGCGTTGGAAACGTACTCAGCACGTTCGATATTCCTTGAAGTTGCTTAACCTCTAGACCATTGAATTGGCATCCAACGATGTTAATATTTAACTTCAATCAATCTATGATTGTTTCGCCAATAGAGAAAATCATTATTTTTTTCTTGAGTTCAATGTATTACAAGTATTTACTAGTTTGAAATATATATTACTATGTGATCTGTTGTGTCATGATCAGTGCAGTGGCCTGTAGGAAAAGTTCAAAATGTAATTTCTAAACAACTTAATATGAAACTACTTAGGATTCTAGTGAATGTTTAATTTAATCATCTCAAAGTATTGCGATTGTTACTAGACATGTAATCTCTGAGTTCAGTCTATCAAAGGTAGAATAGTGAATGTAAAATACCAAGTTTTAGAGTATAACAAAGCAATTATTTAATATTTCATAAATTAGTTGTGGTGTGTGCTACTTATATTGATATAAGTAGTATAGGACGCGAGTTAAAGAACGTAATGTCTGGCAGCAGAAGATGGGGAAAGATCAACAAAGGAAGAGCGGGAACGCAATGTAATTTGTAAGGAAACACATGAGCCATGAAATGTGAGACAATGGATTGATGATTGCAACAACAACAGTTCGGCTTGATATGATGGAATATTTTGCAAACCAACGATTTACTATTTGGTTTTTCTATTTTACCGAGTAGCTCTGTAATTTGTGTACTACATACAATTCGATTGTCCCCACCCGTGTTCGCCTTCGCTACACGGTGATTCCTTCGTTGAAATAAATTTATTAAGGTTAGTTTTATGTTGAGAATATTTTTAAAACTTCACAATTAACTATCTCAATCTATGTTTATGCGTTTAATTTATAGTTAACACAAGAACAATAGCCTTTGTAACATTGAATTACGAAATAAATTGTTAGTTAAAGAAATGTTAAGTTAATATAATCTATTTTGTAAAATAATCATGAGTATTATGATACTCATTTTATGATCTGAAATTATCAAAAATGGTTACTTTCCTGATTATTCGAAAACCAGAACATCATACGTTAACAGGTACTGATAATCAGTAAATAACTATAAATGACGTAGTTATTACTAAGGATTAGTTATTGCTAAAAGAGTATGATATAATGTTATATATTAGTGTTTAATAGAACTTAGTAGCCTACTAAATAATGAGTTTATGTTTTTGAAACAATCGGCACTGATTTTTAATCTGACTATGAGTATCAATACATGTATGTAGATCTACCTATGGGTATGGGCCCCTAAAAAACCACCTGCTTCGGTTAGGGCGTCCGGGCAGTATCCCAGCCCTCACACAAATCAAATGATTTTTGGGGCGCATATATATTTGGTGTCTCCTTGTACCAATTTTTATGTCTTTAAATAAACACATAAGATATACCTAATTGGCAAGTCGTAAACAAGGTAAAACAAATCTCTTGAAGATATAATTTATTCCATTCTTTTATATTGGTTATTAGATTCTCCCCATTAATGTTACGAACAATAATTGATCAGTACGCTCTGTGAAGACTACCTCGATATGGCCACTAATTTACAGGCATTTAAACAAAATTGAATGATAGCTAGTGGGGGAATCCAAAACGCGCGTTTCGTCTTATTTAAAACTCGTCAACCAGATGTACCTGTTTATAATTTATTTGCTTTGCTTAACTGAAAATAATACAGTAGGAAATGAGCTTCAAATAAAAATGTATATTTATAAACTAATTATTGTGTTTTAATAATAAACAAGGACCAATTGACAAAATAACTAACAACTTCAATGTCTCACAAATAAGTATCGCATTTATTTCCCGATGAGATTCAATGTTTCAAGGTATTTATTACGATAATAAATAAAAAATTACACGTTATCTACCAAATATACTTTGTGTACTCAACTTTGAGTTACAAATTTAGTGTAAAAGTTAATGATATAGCATGATTATCTAGACTGAAGTCGGTGTAATGGGCTTTGAGAAGACGACATACTGGCTGAAAATCGATATTTCCTAACCATTAAACTACAGTTTCATATTAACAGGTTAATGATTCAATTTTATATGAACATCAAACACATTCTGGGAAAGTACCATGCGGATGTTCATACTGGGATGTGAAGGCTGTACGGTTCTATCCAAACGTCAATAATGAAATGCTTTGGTTTCATGTATTTCAAGTCCAACACTTAAGCTTAAGGCTTTCAAGCCTCATAACAAATTTGTTACCTGTAGGTAAGGTGAGTTGGAACGCGTAAGAAATGAATGGGGATTATATGTCTGTACCATTCGAACTCATATCACTTTGTCTCATGATGAGACATTATCACTGAGCTTTTCAAGGCGCGATCGATCTTCCGTGAGCCTGAAATATCGATACTGATGAAAACATATTGCTTCTGATGTCGAGTTACTTACACTAGTAGCCGTATTGCAATACGGTCAACAGAGATTCATCACCAATAAGAGTGAACACAACATTGGTCAATCGGTGATCAAGGCATTTAATTATTTTTTTTCTTCGACAAAGAAAAAATATTGAACAAAAAACAAAATCTATCATTTTAAAAGTTGATTTTATGGAAGAACAAACGATATAAATATGCATGTAACAAGATAAAGAATATGTACACAAAGATATCAAGTAGGAAATGATGTTTGGAAATAGTGTATTCATGTTAATAACGGTTTGATATTTAGCAAGAAAAATATTATCGAATAGAAAGATTTAATTTTTCAGCCAAAACTTGAGCAATATTCTCATGTAATGGCCGAACGTCATCCACTGTCAAAGTTTTATGTTGATCTCGATAGATAAAACGATAGCAAAGACTTTGCTGTCCGGTTTTAGGATCATTGTATGAATCGACCAAACGAATCTACATGTAAGTGGAAAATGAAAATAATTCTGATGAAATATTAATAATTAGGAATCTAGCTACTCACTTACAATGTCAGTAGTATAAATTCTACGACAAATTTAACTAGTAGGCTAGGAATGTTGTCATTATGGGTTTAATCTGTACAGCCAGAGCTATAATTTTTATTTGCAAAACTGTTTAAGTGATTTTTAGGAAAAATGATTCATCATTACCTGTTCTATGAGATCACCAGCTTCGGAACGTACAATATCGAAAATATCCCGTTCAACTATCTTAATTCTATCTAATCCATCAGGATTGGAAGACAAAGATGATGATATTGATTGAGAGTTGTTTAACCAAAATGAAAGATCCAATACACATGGAGGAAATATACTGACTGGCTGATATAATATAAAAGAACAAACAAAAAATGACACATTGATAATAAGTACTGAAATACTTCATTTTTTCGCCATAAATATGAAAATTTGTTCATACCAAGAGGTCAAAACCATATTCTATCATATTCATATTTTACAGGAGTTAAAAATCAACGCTGAAACCAAGTATAAGTTTGCATAGGTCAGAATTAGGATACAATTTCTGAATGATAGTTAATAATATTAATATTACCACTCAAATACTTACTACCTGAACCGAAGAATATGAACTGGATTGGAATCTAAGATTCAGTGGTTAAAATGCAAATAGACCTTAAGAAATAAACTACCGATCACAAGACTATTTTGTTATTTTCAAAGATACTTTGTCCCGTAAATTTTTAGCCAGATAATTAGTCTCATGAAAAATATTACTAATATTGATGTAAGGGCAAGAATGATAATGATTGGTTGTCTGCTTAGTCAGACATGTAGATGGTCTGATAGGTATCAGATGAGTTATATATATCCCCCATCCTTATTATTATTACTCACTTATTATTGATTGTTCATTATAGTTGGATTGTGTCGGGTTTTTGGTGTGGAAATATATTTACGTTCTAGTCAGGCTAATCACGTGTTCTTGATCTGAGTTGTGTTGAAGTCCTGTAGAATAGATACTGGGAGGGAATCTAGTGTATATATTTGTCTAAGGTAAATTAACGTCCCATACGTGTAAACGTGGAGACCCAACCGTTATAACATTAGACAAATTAAAACCGAGCGTTATAACAAATATACAAAACATTTTTAAATGATAAACACAATGAATCGTGATGCATGTCGATTGTATAACATGTTTCCGACAATTGATGTAAACATTCGCTTAATATTCGAATAATAGTATAGGTTGTGTCTTGTTATTGGGGTTCAGTACGTCCAATGATATTACAGATTTGGGAACGAAAACGATTGATTTTTAGCTTTTTTGATTTTGATAGAAAAAGCTTACAATATTTTATTCATGTTGCTATTTTAGGTCGATTTCTCTTCAGTATAACTTTCAACTATAGACTATTACAACTTTTAAAGTACACAATACTGGTGCTTGTCATACTTCACTTACTATTATTAAGAGGTTAAACTTTACATAATCTGACCGAAAAAAATAACTGAATGAATTTTTGAAGTATCATTACAACGATACTCATCATCTAACAATAAATAGCCTAAAGAACCAATTGTAATGAAGCTAGCCTAGTATTCTAAAGTTTGATCAATGATACTTGTCGAGCGGTAGGATTAACCTAGACTTGAGGTCAAAATAGTCTTAACATCTAATGGCCTGGAGATACACACGCCTTCTTCAATCTTTAGTTTCGAGTTGAGATAAGAGAATACAACAAATAAACTTATATTATTGTATTTCAGGCACATGTTATTTTTATTTTAAACACTCATTAGTTTGTATACATGAATTATGAAAGCACACAACGCACATTCAAATAAGGAATTATACTTTACACAAATAATCATGTCATCAGCGGTAGAGAACAGGGTTAGAAAAAATGAATAATTAATTGGTAATAATAAGAGAACAATAAACTATACAACAATAGTTAATTGATCCGATGGAAGCTCACAATACAGGAAATACAGAAACACAATAATCCAGTTATCTCAATATGATAAAAGTATGAATAATAATAGTCTGTAAAATAGTTTTAACTTCCTTAATACTCTACTACAATAAAAACCATTTTGTAGTATTATGAGATAAACAAAACCATACACACAGTAAATAGTTCTTAAGATTAAGTCTTTAATTCCCACTTCTACTCAGTGACTTGAAGATTATGAAGAGAAAAAAAAACGCAATCAAAACACACATGTCATTAGTAAAGATTTATAACTTCATGTCATTGTTATTTAGGATTATAATTGATCAGTTTCTGTTGCTATAAAATGTATCCTAAGTGGATTGGTTTCATATAGTGTTCTGTCACAAATTTAATTATATTTGATATGTATCTAGAAGTTGAATACAGGAAGCGAATTTCATCCCATTTAGACAACACGTTTGAAACGAAAGGTTTTGGGTTCAAGTCTCATTGTAAACACCAATAAAGAGATGTAGGTACATCCAGTAGATGAGTCCCGAATAGTATGAAACGTATGTTCTAGGTTTTAAAGCTACTCGCATAAGAATTATATTTAAACACATGTTATCAGATGTGTCCAGAAGAAACGGATATGATAACCCAATTATTTTTAGTCTCTCATGAATCTAGTTAATAATCCATGACAAATTTTATTTACCAATTAAATTTATCTCCACAAAACTGCTCAATAATTAAACTTAATAAGCCAAACAACTACATTAAAAACTTTAGAAAAGCGACTATCTACCTTATATTTGATTGGTGCATGAATATCATCAGTTATAAACTGATTCAAAAATCCTTCATCTTTTGACCAAAATAATCGAATATCTGGTATTTCGTATAACTGCATAGCCCAACGTTCTAAACCAAGACCAAAAGCATAACCAACTTTATTAGGTATTCCAGCTTTCGAATAAGAAAAAAAGACAAATAAAGATCAACAAACTGTCGAACAGGAAACAATAAAAATGTAGTATTCGACACCAGCATTTCGTGTCATATATGCGTTATTTTATATTTAGAACAGATGCAATGTGGCTAGTAGTGGAATCTAGAAAGTGTGTTTTATCCAATCGTAAATTAAACCAAAATTCATATTCACTGCATAAGTGAGTAGCCAAGTAAATAACGCACTGCCGTTTGAACCAAAAGATACTGGGTTCGAATCCCGGAGTGGATATCAACTCTGAGATGCATATAAGTTCGGCTGAACACCCAAATAGGAGAAAATGAGCATCCTGGATTCCATTGTTAGCCATGCTCCATCTATTTTAGTATAAACTTGTCATACTGGCTATATCGAGGCAATCAGGACAGAATGAACATACTCCAACAAAGACCAGTTAAAATTCAGTCAAAATATCAACAACGGGATAATTCAAAAACCATTACAAATTGGATAAAGTGGGTTACTTTTTCCACAATAATCAGTCGTTTGTGATCCATTGGTGTCATTTGTTTCTTCTTCACAGACAAAGAATGCACAAAATACATGGAAATGAATCGGTTGTAAAAAAATACCCTTAAGATCTTGTTGAGTTTAAATTCAATTGGTATTGTTTACTTGAATCGTCCCATTGATGTTTAGGACTGCAATTGATCAGTCTCTTATTAGCATATATGCATACTGTATGTATTGCCTTGATATTGCCTTAATTCGCAAACATTCTAAGCAAAAATGGATAGTGGCTAGCAGTGAAATCCAAAACGCGCATTTCGTCTTAATGGGGACTCGTCAGCTGGATGTGCCTGCATCTAGAAGTTGGTGTTCACTCTGGGATTCGAACTTATTGCCGTTCGTCTCAAACGCCATCGCGTTATCCACTTAGCTATTGAGTCCTGATAGTCACTTGCTTGTGCAATGAGATGAAGTTTGAACTGATTTCGTAGTTGCGAGAGCTAAAATCTCGCCACTCTCTATAATGATATTTACTTTTGTTTCGTTGATTCACTTAGATTTTAATATCATTTTGTCCTAAATCTTAGATGGTCAATTTAAAAACTACTTATCCAGTTTGGTTATAAAGCAAAACTAATCTTTCATTTCTGATTAATTGAATGTTTTAATAATGATTAAATTGCTATCCAATTAGGTCAGCATAATTTGTAGTTTATTTTCCGATCTTTACATTTTTAAATGAGTAACACAGAAGAACATAATGAAGTATTAAACTAGGATGGATTATTGATATAATAAAAATCAGCATTTTTTAAAAAGGATATTTTCAGTTGAGTTTACACAATAATGAAAGCTTCATAATTAAACCAACTAGCTCAAAGAATATAATATCTGATTTAAAAAAATACTATGATCCAGTAATTTAATGAACAAACACTTACAACGTTCTAGTAATTCTTGTCGCATTATACCACATCCCAACATTTCAGTCCATTCTTCAGGCTTTTCACAATCAAAATCGTCATCATAGTTAGAGTAGCCAGAATTTCTTTTGATTTCTAATTCCCATGATGGATGGGTAAATGGGAAGTAAGCACTAACCCAACGTAATTGTATGTCTGTGATTAATAATCAAGCAACACCAATAAGAAAATACTGAAACTGGGGAAGAGAATTGCTCATAAATCTATATTATGATGAAAACTCATAACTAATGAACATTACTAAATGGAGCGTTTCACTGAACGAAGAAGTATAAAGATTAACATACGAACAAATTAACAATGGCTTCATAGAATATGATATGACGATCAAGAGATTATAATCACCGCCACTATATATTACTAAATCGAAGAGTCACAATTTGTTGACGCTCTGGATGGAGCTTGTATATTGAGAAAACCCAATAAAGCTATAGTGGTAAAGAAATTTATTTCTTGAAGACCTAACACGTCAAGCAGGTGGGTTGTATAGCGATAAAAACCAAAAGCAACAAATTTAAGGTTGGATAGAGAAATTTAATTGTTAACTTTACTGGAGTGAGATAAGAGTAAAATGTCGCCTTCATGGATAACCAGAATATACAGAGGTGCTCCCTTCTTATCAATGAATTCGGATTGGAAGAACATCTGGCTTGAAAATAAAGCACTTCCATTTTCCTCAACTATTTTTAATACCAGTGGTAAACCATGAAAGCTTTTCAGAAAAAGGTTGTGGATGACGAAGGACCTAGAAAGAAACTGTAGCGTTTTAAAGTCAATATATCTTATATTGGCGAGAGAGCAAATTAACAAAATGAACATCAGAGGAGAAATAATACCAAGTGTAATGTAAAGCTAAACACGATAAATATAGTTTAAAAGGTATAACGGAAAGAATGGGATGGTAACAATCTCAAGAATCAAAGAAGGACAAAGAATGAATGCAAATGTAGCAAATTTTGATCCATTTCTTTCAATAGCTCGAGCAATGCATTGCAACTATGGCGTGTGCCTTAACTAGGGAGTCTGAGTCTCTACCATACAGCTGACACCACTGGCCAATAATTTCATAAACTGATGTCATATTTTAATTTGGTTGGGATTATCTTTATCACGGATTAGTTCTATGCTAGACAGTATTGAGTTACAGTAAGGGATGGTTAGGCATGAAAAACATATATTTAAACAATTTCAGTAAATAAAGACTTACAGTTGTATGTAATAATTTACCATCAGTTTTGTCTAGTACCTCAAACCTAATAACTATGTGGTCCCATCATATGTAAATAATGCTTCAAAGACAAGTATGACCAGATTTTACGGTCAAACGTCAGTACAGAAATGACTGCTGCCCAGTATACTTTTCCTCTCTGATGGGAACTTGCCTCAAAAGTGCTTTAGTTTGGTGAGAGTCAAATGGAATTTCTGTATCGGCTAGTAATTCATCGGAGACGGTGAGGTTTTGAGTCAGAACAATATTCCCAGTAGCTATTGATAAAAAACTGGGTGGTCCTCTTGACCTGCCCCCTTCATATGTATCCTTTAATAATGGACGAGAAGAAATATAAAGTGGGAAATAAACTCATAAACAGTAACAATTGTTAGCATTATGCACCAAAATACAAATAGTAAATAGATAGAATTATAATAATACCTGGGCCAAACAAAAATTTAGCCATTTCCTGTAGGAGGGTTTTCAATTCAAATTCTAGTAGCATTTTAGTCTCTGTCGTATGACTAATTTGTCTGTCAGGCGGAAGCATATATGATGGAAAAACCTTGAATGGATGAACATCTGGTTCACTATATGGTGAAGACGATGGGATGTCTTCAAACAGCCGAAAACATTGAAAAGGATCAGTAGCATTTCTAAATAACTACAAAAAGGAATAATATAACTACATAATACACATGATTTCGAATCACTAATTAAAAAATTCTTACAGTTAAGATGTAAAAACTAAATACTGAATCGATCTCAATCAATAATTGATGCCCCTAGTTGTGAATTATATGAGAAACAAACGACTTTGATCCTAGCCAGAGAGTGGTCAATGATAGACTTGACAATCTAGTATGTCGTTCTTTCACATTCCGTCACCACTTCACTTTTTTCAACTAGTTCCATCCTCAACAAATAATGTACGATATGAGGTTCACTCAGACAACATTCTTAGCACATGTTCAAGCCGCCGAAGTCAGTGTTTTGACATAATGACACCAATTTAATAATCGTCAATGTGACTGGACACGCGTTACCGAAACTTCGTATTACTAACATGGGTTTTCTATTGAATGTTAATAACCCCCAGGAGACAACGATGATCAAACACAGGAAGTTCCTTAACATCAATTGGTTACTCCTAATCTTAGTCAATATTGATTGAGATTGGAACGCTTGTCTGCATAATACGGTGAAAAGTAAACACAACTTGACAACTGAAAATATGCTGAAATCGAGTTGGTCTCTTCATTTTGTGGGTTGGCTAATTAAACAGAGTTCCAAACCAGGACAACGACAGTTAATTATTTAAAATCTTTAGTGGTAAAAACTGTCTGTCCAAACAGTATAGCATAACAGTCGAACAGCTACTGAACTATTTCACTGCTGAAGAGTCCCATGCTAGGACGAAATAGCCGTCTAGTGCTTCCAGGTTTTCAACGGTGGTCTAAAATTGATTGATTCATGACATCGATCATTTAATTTAATTAATAACATATGATTTGAGTAAACATGGCAAAATGATGCAAATACATAAAGACAGTGAAGATGGTATTGTGGTGTATGCTACTTATGCCGACATATATTAGTATGTAGCGCCAATTGGAAATAAAATGCCTACCAGTAGAAGATTAAATTGAAGAGAACAGGAAGGGAACTGGAGAGCAATTGTAATAAGAATCATGAATCACGTACAAGACAGCTGAAGGAAGATGCGCAAATAATGTATTTAACGTTTGGTTTCCATATTTTACGAAAGCACTGTAATTCTACACTAAACAATAAATTGGTTTTCCCTACTAAGTCTTCGTTTACTATAGAATGAATGAATGCAACTATCTACTCAACTATAATGTAATACATTATTATTTGTAAGAATGTGAATTGTCTCATTGTTAATATTCAAGTCTAAATTTTGATCGGTCTTTTGTGAAATATAGGCATCATGTGAGGGTTGCCTTGATAGTTATTTTATTAGAATGTTTTATAGAATAACTGGACTGGGTCGATAACGTACATTTCATTCTACTTGGGACTTATTATATGGATTTACCTGTGTCTCCGGTATTGATGTTTATACTCGGACTCGAATTCGGTACTTTTCATTTCATACGCACTGACCTATTGAGTACAGAAAACCACCTATTTGTTCAATAAGTATGATATTTAAATCATTATTAACAAGGATTTGAATTATCCCAGCTAACGGAATACTCCTCCTGAATTTCACTACTAACAAAAATTCTTCTGTTCTATAGTGGTGAAATAGTTTGTAAGAAATACACTGTGTGAAAGGGAAAATTGTTTTTCGGTTTTTAGAATTTACAAATTCTTACTTCCTTAAAGTTTCAATAAAGTAAAGGCCTATAGTTTCTCAAAGTTCAAAATATGCTACTGTTTATTAGATCGATTTCACCATTGAACAAGCCGAATCATGGGGGATGTTTGCTTTTGACAGATCTTGTGTGTGCACTGGTGTTCTAAATGAAATAGGATCCAGTTATCCATAGGTTTTAGAAAAAAATGTAATCTGTTAGGATAATAACCTGTTATAATGACCTCTGACAACTGCTAGCAAATACTACACACAGGTGAGATGTAGGCTGAGCCCATTATATAAACAAGTGCACAGTCCTAACGTGTTGTTTAGAATCTCTTAAATCACTTAAGTTTTGAGGATGCTGGATCCTCATGTGTAACTCAGGGTAAGAAAACCAATATCACTTTAAGACAAATTTCCGTTACATTAATTTACTCAGTGTAAATACTGTTCATTTTAATCGATGGATAACTAATTATCTTAAATAAACTTTGAATCTTACTGGGTCTTGGCTGACAAAACTTTGTACGGCAACTGGAATTCTCACTCTGGTTAGTGGGTTACGTGAAAAGAGAATAGGAATAATCTCGTTCACCGTGTTGAAGTTAGACTTAAGAAACAGCAAGTTAGTGCATTAACATACCATTAGGTTTTACCAAGGAGAAGATTTTGGTAATGTTATATTTCCTGAGCTGGACAGTTTATAGCTGAGAAGCTTTTATTGTCATTTTATCACTAGAGGATGAGTTAGACTTAATTAAGAGGCTTTGGCTAATTGAAACATTAATCAGTGACAAATACCGAGTAGTGGGGTAGTTTAATTGTTGAAATAAACGACTTTCAACCATAATTTCCAGATTAAAACCTCACCACAGCTATTTATCGTGGCCAACTAGTATCACTAACCTTCATATCAAAAGTGTGACTGAAAGCTAGTTACACTAACAATTAACTATTTTCATGAGATGTCACAAAATGAAGGCATTGAGGAAAAACCCTTACTTCATCCGATGTAAACAGTCGAACACCTTCTAACTGATGAAAGACAGGATAATGCAGTGAATCAATATCGTCACGTCGATAAACATCACCAGCAACAAGAAAAGCATTTAAACCGGAATTGATTAAATCTAATTGATGCGCTGATGTATGACTACGTAATACAGTTGTTTCATTTAAATAATATGTATCTGTACGCAATCGACTTGGATGATCTGGTGGAATAAATAAACTGTCGAAGTTTTTTCGTACTGTTACCACTGGTGATAGATGATCATATAGGCTGAATAGTGGTGTACCACCTTGATTATTATTGCACACATGGCGAACATGACGCTAGTTGATCAAAAATGACGAAGGAGAAAAAGAAGACAAGTATATATGTTAGGCAAACTTAACAAAAAACTGACTACACAACTGAATCATTTATTTAGTGTAAATAGATAGTCAGGAAAAAACTAAGATTGATCAGACTAGGGTATGACCAAAAAACTTGTGAAGCCATTGACTGTTAACAATAGAGTCTAAAAAGCTGGAAAAAGATAGATAGAATCAATTGAAGCCAATTAAAACATCACATTTCTACGCCTGTTTATAGTTTATTTTATTCAAATTACTTTACTTGTTCAGTTTACTTTTTTTTTCGAAATCTTGTTAAATCTCTGCTTCGGTACTGTTGTAAGAAGGGAAAACTTAAACAAAATAAATTTTTCATTGTCATCGTATAAGTACATTCTATATTATTCTACTTATATGAGCAATGACAACATATGTTACGTGAACCTCAACAAGATAGTCTGCATCTACCTACATGGCGCAGTCCAATAGTCAAGGACTTAGTGGACTGATGATACCTCTTTGTTTGGTTACCCCAACTTTCTTACAACCTACTTTTGCACTAGCACGTATTACCCGTTGAAGTAGTTGGTTATCGAGAGCGTAGGACCTATGAACAAATAAGCACTAACCTAGCTTACCATACCAAACTAGTATAAATTCTAACAAAGAAACTGGACCGATGGTGATATTATTGAGGGTAATCAGACATAAAGCGTGTAGTTAGAAAAGAAGGAATAAAAAGTGTGGGATAAGATTAGACACACACATTCGTGGCACTGTGGTGGTTTTTGAACCATGTAACCCGTTTTTCAGATGCCAAATACGATAGTCATATGGACCTACCTTTGGCAGGAAGTCTACACATATATATCTAAGGGTAACAATTGACGACTTGATGAAGTGATGTAATTTTGGCTCACCAACCTTACTTATGACCTACTACTGTCCCTATTCTACTTGATGAACCTAAGTATTTTAAGTAAAATGATAGGTGTAGTTGTTGAAAGGTTTTTAAAATGTACACCACATTATAATAGGCTATGTACAACGATTGAGAACTATAGTTCAAACGGTTTGACAGTAAGCATGATTTAAAACCAAAAATTATCTAGTTAATTTGAAGAGAGACAAAAAGCAAGAATATGGGAGCTAAATGTAATTCCATACGATTGGCTGCAAAAACTGGCTAGTTAATTAGAAGGGTTGGAAATTCTTTTGTGAAAACCATGGAGAAATGTGTCGGAGTAATATTGTTTAAAATATTACCATTCACAGTCGATCGACGCTTGGTTGGAGCTCGTAAGTAACAAACGCAGGTAAAACCATGCTAGTTTCAGACCTGGATGTGATCTGTAGATTAAATGTTCATCGTTTGTCGGGTTTTTAAATACAATGATAATTACTGACACTCAACTAAGGTTGTACCTCTTGACTTTAGAACCGTATTTGACGCAAGTGATCAGCAGGTTTTGTGGCAGTAGCTACGATAAACGGTGTATCCTACAAGTAGATTCACATATAAACTTCGAGTACCCAATAGAAAATTGTAGCGAACAATTGGGGTAAGGTATATTGAACTAAAATACGAGTAAAAACTACACAGGTTTCTGAAAAACAACGTATAATGATGCAAATCAACCGATAATGGCTGTAGGTATGAATCCGGTATGCTATTTCTCGAAGATACACAGTAGTAGTAAAAGATTTATTTTAATAAACTTACTCTAAAATGTATACTGCCCCACAAATGCCCTAGTAAAGCCGAGAGTGGGGAGAGTCAGCTCTCTTTCTCTCTTGAAATGCTCTTACGTGGCCACGTGCATACAACCACTGCCAGGGACGTCCTACTCACTGTCTTCTCGCGGCGAGGGTATTGTTTACGAAATTGAGAGAACGAAAAGCGAGTGTCTGGCGCTTTATATATATATATATTACTGGAGACAACATATGTAGCAATTTTCAACATAGAACATTATACTTACCTTAAACATGAAGTCCACGATACGTTGTTTAATCAAATTTAAAGGATGATGTTGTTGGTTATGCAGTGACCTTTTTGTAAGTTCAATTATATGGGGAGTTAAGTTATACCAAGAATCTTTGACAGTAGAATGTCCACCAATAGAAACCCAACTAGAGGTTGGATTTTCAGCAGTTGGTTGTAAACTTTGTTTAGTCTATTAGGAAAAGTACAGTAATGATTAAAGTAGGAAGTAAAACTTTACACTTACACAATTGTTGTAGAAATATATGATTTTAGAAAGTGATGGGTGAACATTGTTAGTCTAGCCAAAGACAATCAACGTTAGTACTGTCGCGTTTTGATTGCTTGATTGAATGAAAAGTGAAAAGAGCTTGAATTCGCTATTTTGTGAGGACGATATCACGTAGCTAAAGTTAAGATTGATCTTAACGAGCTTTAGTGACCAGTACCAAAGTTTAAGAAGACTTAAATTCGAGGCATTACATTGATAATCTATACTTACTTAACAATAGCAACGTGGGGGGTAGTTTAGTGATTAAAGCATTCAGCTTTACCAAGTAGGGCAAAAGTTTGAGTTCTGGCTCACCTACTTTAGATGTGTAGGGGATTTTCGAAGCAGAGAGAGGATTTCCCTCTCCCTTCACCATACCAACAGATTTCAAGGCAATGATTTCGACTAAAGTCACAGAGTACTTTGAAAGACTACTCAACTGTTACATTGTCACGGTAACTTCAACCAAATCATCTTATACATTTTGGCTGGTGACTACTTTTAAAACATGTCAGCCAACCCACAAGACCCCCTTAATTTCTGGTTAGAAAAGTGAACGGACTGATTGAAAGGACTTGTAATCTAAGAGATGCTTCATCGCTTTAATGAGGATTATTGTACACAAAAGTGAACTACGTAAAACACATTATAATTACTGGAGTATAAGCTTATATTCAAAGCCATTAATAATAACACTAATAAAATATTCACTCCCGACATACCCCTGAGAGTCTGAACTGTAAAGGACATTCAACTTGGCGTGGAGACTATAAGGTTGCATTGGTCGTTTATAAACTCTCCACTAAGCTTTATATCGCTTCTTTTCTGGACTTACGAACTGACTATATGATATTTTTTCCGCTAAATATTCACACAATATCGATTTTTTGTGACACATTTCTTAGTCCACTATTGTACCGAGTTTTCCTTGTGGTAATAAACAAAATCTTACTCTGAATGATCCCATTTTAAAGAATGTGGCTTTAGTTGGGATATGGCTCGATTATTTAGACATCATAACAAATAGATAGTACCCGAAAATATGGGAGACGTCACTTCCATTCGTTGATATGTTATCTTAGGCAACACCATACATGAAGTTCCCGGCACACTATGGTGCTTCTGCATTCAACCTAGTATGTGGTGCATATGTATCTGGTGCCCTTTCGTACCACTATTTATGTGTTCAAATAAATTAGTAAATAATATTCAACCTAGTGCATATCACACTTTAAGCGACCGAATTTCCAATAATGTAGCTTCACTATATTGGCGTGATAGACAAAAATCTGTGCAAAATGACAGCTACAAAAAATGCATAAACTTCTGTGATGTCTGATGGTCAATCTATTAGTAATGTCTTGTAATGGAAACTTAGTTTACGGAAACACTCATTAACGACGAGAGATTCGAAATATATAAATATGGTTCGAAAAGAATATATGCACAAAATAATAAGTACTTTTAACATTACTACAGTCAATATAGCTTACACTAAGTAGTCTATGGGGTTGTACACATGGACTGCAAAACAAACGAAAATAACATGGACACAAATTCAAGCGCATCAGCCTTTCCTAAAAGTAAACGGATGTGTATAAGAATATTAGGATAACATAAAGGACAATAAATACGTTGGTTCATATAAACAGGAATAAATATCAAGTCACAGGATAGTGAAAGTCACATAGTTTCCATTGACAAACTCTGAACTACATTTTTGGAAAATATGAAGACTATCCTCACTGTCCAAAACTATACATACCGCTTGTCTAAAAGGATGTTAAATATACTTCATTTAAAATTTAAGTGACTAATAATCACGAATGCATATAGGTGGACAACTAGAGCAGCGATCTTTAAGATAATGTTGGTTCGACCGCTTATCTGTAATCATAGTTGGGGCTCAACAGTATATGATGCAACCAACTTTTTTGGTTTGAACTAGTGAGTGAATAAATAAGTAATGTACTTTGGTCCAAAAACAAGGCTGACATGAAGATGAACACAATGATATGAAGCAGAAACATTCCTTGAAAAAGTCGCAGTAATGCCATCTTTTTTGACGAACATGGATCAACAGCTTGACATCAGTTCTGAACCTGTTTCCTTTAAGCGCACTGTTAACAGATGTGAAGTAAGTAAAGTGCTTTGGCGTCAGTTAGTGTATTTTGTGAAGTCAGAACACATTTATTTACAATCTCCCAATTATTGGGAAAATTTTGTCAGTTTTGGGGAAGCCATAATAGAAAATTTTAAGGAAATGCAACAAACCCGAAAATACGAATTTTCATGAGTTTGTGGGAAAACCCACAATTCCTAATAATTTTCATGCAATTGGGAGGTTGGATTTATTTGCAAAAAAACACGTGACTAGAAGTTTTTCATTGGGACTTTCGAAATGACAGGAATTTAATCACATACGATTTCTGATTGGGAGGAATTTTATACAAATGTATGAAATTCGATATTGGGAAAAACTCAGATTTTCCCCAAAGCTTTTTAGGATTTCGCAAAAATAACTCGAAGTTTTAGGAAAAAATCCCAAAACTAGGAAAATATCCTGGGTTTTTGTCTCATTTACTTAAAATATTATTTAGTGCCTTTCACGAAATTTTCCCAAAACTGATGAAAAATCTCCCCTGACATCCAAAGATTGAAATTTCAATATTAATATTGTGTCCAGATTACTGACGACATAAAAACTGATAATGTAATGGCTGTAGCTGATATTCGCGTGTAATATTTCCAGTCTTTTGTGGGAAAAACCTTGTCTCCCCAAAAATCCCGTACACTCACCCAAATCTTGAGGATGTGATTTATGTGAACAGTAACTCTGTAGTTGAATATCCGCTGAAAGACTATACTCAAATAGTTCAAGTGGTTTTTAGATGGAATAGAAGAAGCTTTTGCTTAATGGGCTTCCGTATCTAGTAGCAGCGGATCATCAACACGTCCAGACAGGAACCCAAGTATATTGTCGATAACAAGGGAAAAAGAAATTGGTAACTCATAGTAAGATACTATCCTTAGTCCTTCAGAATGTCAGTTTCAATTTGGAAAGGACAAGAGGCTTGATGGCCTGTGTTAGTCCTGGCAATGGTGGTCTCTCAGTTGATCCAACTTTCTTTTGAAAGAGTCGACGGATGGGGCCTCAACCACGTGCTGAGGTAATGAATTCCACTCGTTGATAATTCGATGGGAAAGTCGATAGTCAGCTGACAAGTAATTTGTTCTGGGCTTGTGAACTTTTTTGGAGGGTCCTTGTAAGTTTTTTGTGTCGAAAGACTAGAAAAAGGAGGGCATATTAGGTGCAAATTTACCACTAAGCAATTAGAAATCTATAATCAAGTCGCCTCTAGTTCTTCGACATGACAACGTGAAAAGGTTTAGCTTGGCTAGTCGAGCATCATACGGAAGCTTCGCTATTCCGGTAATCAGCTCATCTGCTGTTCTCTGAACCTTTTCCAGAAGTTCACTGTCTTATTTTAAGCAGGGGCTAGCCGCTTGTATGCAGTACTCAAGTTTAGGACGTACTAACACTGTATACAAAGTCGAAAACGTCTTAGCGTCGACATGACTTAAAGCCCTACGTATTGACCCTAAGGTTCTAAAACCTTTGGCGGTTATTGCACGACAGTGTGTACTAGTATTTAGGTCTTGACTAACGAAGACTCTTAAGTCAATATGTGTCTGGACGACAGGTAGCTCAGTGTTATTCATCGTGTATGTATCTGTACCTTGATGATCGATATGCATCACGACACACTTGGAAGTATTTATTGGCAACTGCAAGGCTTGAGACTATTCAGATAATTTCTTCAGGTCATTTTGGATTTCTAAGCTCTCATCCTTACATCGTATCGTTCTCTATATCTTGACATCGTCAGCACATAGCAAGACCGAAGACGATAGGAGACGAGGAGGGCTATTTACATAGAAGAGGAAAAACACTGGCCCCAAAACTGTGCCGTGACGTACTTCACTAAGCACAGTTTCCTAGCTGGATAACTTTGAGTTCACCTGTACTCTTTGTTGGTGCCCAACTAGGAATTCTTTTATCCACATAAATAGATTGCCTCCAATTCTGACATTTCTTAGCTTATGTAACAGCCGTTTGTGCGGAACTTTGTCGAAAGCTTTGCTGAAATCAAGGAAGGCTACGTCTACAGGTAACTTTTGGTTCTTAAGAGCTCACCAGCTTTCACGAGCCACTAATAAGTTAGTGAGACAAGAACAACCAATTCTGAAACCTTACTGTTCCTCTGAAAGGATTCAGTTTTCATCGAGATACTTAAACAGCTCCTTCCGAATAATCTTTTCTAAGATTTTAACAACCACACTAGTTAGGCTAACGGGGCGGTAATTCTCAGGTTTGTGTTTCGTACCTGTTTTGAAGACAGGACTTACTATGGCGTCCTTCCAGTCTTTTGGTAAACGACCCTGCATTACGGATAGATTAAAGCATATACTTAAAGGTTTCGCAACGAAGTTAGATACTTCCTTCAGTAGCCTAGGAAACAATGTCAAGTCTTCCCTCAAAATACTCCTGGAAAGTCACTTGGACTAGCTCAGCCGGTAGCGGATACTAGAATTTGACTGCTCTTAAGGACAAATTAAGATTACAGTGTTGAAAAGGCCACAAAGAAACGACAGAAATTCAGTCCAAACATAATAAGAGAGGCATTCGCCAAGTGTTTAGGAATAACATAAATATCTAGTTCCAAAGGATCATGGGCATCAAACCCAATGTCCAGTATCTGTGTGATGAGCTAAAAACCCAATACAAAATTTTTATACACGAATAAACTAAGTTTGAAAAATTCTGGATCGCTGCTTGACGAATCACTGGGACAGTGCAATTTTGTGATTTCGTCATCACTGGCGCAGAAGCAAGCCTTCTTCACGCAAATACTAAAGATCATCTACATGAACCCGTCTTCAGCTTATAAACGGCAAGTGGAAAACCTATCTCTATACACGGTAAGCGATCAGTTTATCATGTCGTGGGTTTACGCAAACCTATTCATTGTATTTCCGTTGTTGAAGACGTTCCTATGCCAGTCATTGGTACAGGCCTGCAATAACACCGTAATCTGACTATCGCAAACAGATTTCAGTAGACGGGAATAATAGATTATGTATTTGTGAAACTTCATTTTCGGGTTTTAGATTATGCCCAGTCACGATTGAACATAAAATCGGTCCCCGCTTCCAAATAATTCTCGACAAAAACCCCGAACTTTTCAAAAACGGAAAATATTATTGTGTGCTACCAGCAATGCCATGTTGCAACTCGATGTTATGGAAAAGCTGGTCTAACCTTTGTCGTTCGGTTTGGTTCCCATGTTCAGATATACCCATTTTTAAATTTTCATAAGATTCAGAATCATCACTAGTAAACATACTGTAGCGGTAAATAAATCCCCAAAATAAATAGCACTAAGTTTTCGACATTGGATGCTGACCATATGTTTTAGTGGACTCACCTAGCTGAAGGCGCTCGGTCAGTCATCCGCACCAGATCACGTGTGGTAACGCCGTGCTCAACATCAACCGCAATCGTTAGCCAGATTAGATCAGAGAATTCCGATATATTGGTCATCGCCAAATATACTCTTCCGATCTCCTCGACTCTGTCTTTTGATTTCTCTGGGCGGGAACGAAATATATTAGAAGGTGTTACTGGTAGAAGCGTTGTCAAACACTGAATACCTGTGACATTATCATTGGTGAGACCGACGTGATCTGGTACACCTAATTGCAACTGTGAGTCTGTTCCTTTTTGGGATTTTTATATATCATTGCCTTATTTTTTTAACTTTTTTAAACATTGTGATTTTTTTTTCGTGTTTTTTCCTGGATATATATATATTTTCCCCTTGTTCATTATCGTACTTCATACTTCATCATGACTGAACAGACACCTAAAGTACTCAAGCTTAAGACTTTGTCCCCGCCTTCGTTTCAACTCATGCCTTTCTGGCCCGACAACATCGAAGCCTGGTTTTGCTACGCAGAAGCCGACTTCTCCGAGCACGGCGTGATCGACACACGTGCACAATTCCTCGCAGTAGTCAAGGCACTACCGCGCGAATTCAACAGGTACGTAACACCTAGTATGTTTACTAGTGATGTTTCCGATCCTTACGAAATCTTAAAACGCTCGATTCTTAAACGAGGAGACCTAACCGATCGACAAAGGTTAGATCAACTCTTCAACAATATCGACCTGCAACACGGTTCTGCGACAGACATGTTGCAACGGATGAGAGAGGTAATAGGCCCAAGAACTTTCGACGAAGGCCTATTCAAACAACTCTTCTTGTCAAAACTTCCCCAACAGGTGCAAGCAGTTCTGGTCTCGTTCCAGAACAACGCCTTAGACGAGCTAGCTGCATCTGCCGACCGCATATTAGAAATTACGAAATCTACTACCGAGGTATTTTCAGTCAAAGAAAAACCTCAAACGACTCAGAATGATATAAACGACTTATGTCACACACTCACGCGTTATCTTAGTCTTCGTAACGACCGTAAGAGATCGCGCACACCACGTAGAAGCATTTCTCGTAAGCGATCTGTCTCTAGACCACGAGAGACAGATAACCCCGGCTGGTGCTGGTATCATAACCAGTATGGAAAGCTTTCCAGAAATTGCAGAAAACCCTGCAATTTTCCCAACACGAAACCGACTGATTCGAAAAGCAATTCGGGAAACTTCCAAGCCGGCACGCGTTAACGGCAACCGTAGCCGGCGAACAAAGCCGTCTGTTATTCGTCACAGATGTGACAACGAGAGTTCGTTACCTCGTCGACACTGGCGCAGAAGTTAGCGTTCTCTCAGCAAATCCTAACGACCGGCTTCAGGAGTCGGCTTTTAACTTACAGGCGGCAAATGGAAAACCGATCGCTACGTATGGCAAAAGGTACGTTTACCTTAACGTGGGTTTACGCAAACCCATCCACTGGATTTTCGTTGTTGCAGATGTTTCTCTGCCAATCATTGGTATGGACCTTCTACAACACCACAATCTGATCATCGATACGCGCAAACGGAGGCTAGTAGACGGAAACACTAATTTGTCCGTTTGCGTAACTTCTTTTACTGGTTGTAGAGTATCCCCAGTCACAGTTAAGCATATGATAGACCCACTCTATCAACCACTACTCGATAAGTACCCTGGGATACAACAAACTCAACCGAAACTACCGTGTGTAACCAGCAATGTTACACATCACATCACGACTACAGGACCACCTGTATTTTCTAAAGCACGCCGACTAGCTCCTGAAAAGCTAAGGTTAGCGAAAAACGAATTCGATCACATGATGGACTTAGGAATCATACGACCGTCAAGTAGCCCATATGCATCTCCGTTGCACATGGTCCCTAAAAAGGACAGCAACGATTGGCGTCCAACTGGTGACTATCGGCGATTGAACGCGAAAACCATTCCCGATCGTTACCCGTTGCCTCACATTCACGATTTGACAGCTACCTTGAAAGGTACAACTGTCTTTTCGAAAATCGACTTGGTCAAAGCGTATAACCAAATCCCTATGGCTACTGACGACATACCGAAAACAGCTATCATAACTCCTTTCGGACTCTATGAATTTTTGCGTATGCCCTTCGGTCTAAGGAATGCTGCTCAAACATTCCAAAGATTCATAGACGACGTTTTTCGAGGTCTCAACTTCGTACACGCGTATGTTGATGACTGTCTAATCGCAAGTCCGGACAGAGAAACACATCTCAAGCATCTGGATTTTGTTTTCGAACGACTTCAAAAACATGGCATAACTGTAAACGTTCAGAAATGCCAATTCGGAACCGACTCGTTAGACTTCCTAGGACACACTATCGATGCTCAAGGCATTCGACCTCTTAGGACCAAAGTGGCGGCCATTCTGGATTACCCAGAACCGACCACCGTCAAGCAATTACGCACGTTTAACGGTCTCGTAAGTTTCTATAGACGTTTCATACCGAAATGCGCATTACTCATGAAACCTCTAACCGACCAACTTCGTGGAAATGCGAAATCGATTAATTTGGACGACACCGCACGAAAAGCATTCTCCACAGTTAAGGAACTGATTGCTAAAGCAACAATGCTCGCACATCAGGACACCCGAGCACCCATTAGCATCGCAGTAGACGCATCCGACTCAGCAATCGGAGGAGTCTTACAATAATGGGTTAACAACTCCTGGCAACCCTTGGCATTTTTCTCTAGAAGGTTGCTAGACACCGAATCGAGGTACAGCACATTCGGTAGGGAACTCCTAGCTATGTATTGTGCTGTACGGCATTTCCAACACTACATCAAAGGTCGTGAATTCACTCTTTTCACGGACCATAAACCGCTCACTTTCTCGTTAAGCTCTCCTTCTGACAAGTACTCTCCCCGTGAGTCTCGACAACTGGACTACATTTCGCAGTTTACTTCAGATATTCAACACATCTCTGGAGCAAACAATGTAGTTGCAGACGCTTTATCTCGTATAACTTCCTTGAACAGTTTCCAAGGAATCGACCTTCTTAAACTCGCCGAGCTTCAAAAAGAAGACAGTGATCTTCAGCACGAGTTATCGTCCACAACACTTAAACTACGCATCAAACAGATGGGAACAGGTAAGGAAACCTTACTTTGTGACACATCTACAGGTAGGGATCGCCCAATCGTGCCGAAACATTATCGACGCAACGTCTTCAACACATTGCACAAACTTTCGCATCCAGGTGTTCGTGCAACCATCAAGCTTATAGCAGAAAGGTTTTGCTGGCCTGGAATGAATAAAGACGTGAGGGAGTGGGCACGCTCCTGTGTAAGCTGCCAAAAATCTAAGGTTATCAGACACAATAAATATCCCTTAGGCTCGTTTAAAACTCCCGATGCTCGTTTCGACCATGTTCATCTGGATTTGGTAGGACCTTTACCAGATTCAAATGGATACTCTTATCTCTTAACCTGATTAGACCGTTTCACTCGATGGCCAGAAGCAGTACCTATCAAGGACATCACTGCTGAAACAGTGGCTCGCACCTTCGTCGAACGATGGGTAGCAAACTTCGGCTGCCCTTCAACCATCACTACAGACCGCGGACGTCAATTTGAATCTGATCTTTTCCGTCGTCTGACCACTCTTTTAGGAAGCACTCGCTTCCGAACGACCGCCTACCATCCACAAGCAAACGGGTTGGTAGAACGTTTTCACTGACAACTGAAAGCTTCGCTATCAGCTACAAACGTTTCACAGTGGACCGACGCTCTTCCACTCGTCTTACTAGGTATCCGCAATGCAGTGAAAGCTGACATTGGATACACTGCGTCTCAACTCGTTTATGGTACGACACTTCGACTTCCAGGAGAATTCGTGGATCCTTCATCCTCTTCAATGAACATGGATCTAACCTCCTACACGAACAGGCTTACAAACGCAATGCGTTCAGTTAAATCTGCTTCCACCCGACCTCAATCAACTGATGTTTTCGTTCAACCTGACTTACGATATAGTACACACGTTTTCGTTCGTCGAGACTCGCATCGACGACCCTTCGAATCAGCATACGAAGGACCCTTCAAAGTTCTTCAATGTGAATCTAAGTACTATATAGTCGATAAGAACGGAACCAACGATAGCATCAGTATCGATCGCTTAAAAGCAGCGTATTTAGAAGGAAATCCTATCTACGTGGATTTTCCTTCGGTACAATTGAAAGACACGACTCCGACACTTATAATACCTCATCCGACAACCAACACACACGATGATACTTCGACAGTATCCGAAAATAAACTTAAAACGACGCGTTCTGGAAGAAGGGTGAGATTTCCAGAACATCTAAACGACTATTGCACGTAAGGCACTTCTCGACATTTTATATTATTTTTTTTAAAAAAAACAATTTTAATATGCTTATATATTTTTATTTCTATTTAAAAAAAACAAAACAAAAAAACAATTTTTTTAACGCTATTACGTGTTCATGAGTTTATTTTCCTTTTTTTTCCGCCGACATTGTGCTTTTACGCACATACGAGTGTATTTCGACATGCACTTACATTTTCTTTTTTCTTTTCCAGGACGGCTGGAAAAGAACGATGCCGTTTATGAGGATCCGAAATTTTCCATGTACATTTTCTTTTTTTACTATGTTGTACCTCCGTCCCATATAGTAAGGAAAGACGACCAGACGCTGCTAAATTTAGTAAGCTATCAGAAGAGTGTTTACCAACGACGAACTCGTTGGGTTTAAACTTCTGGCTGGCCACGTCTTAGGGTCGTCACTGCCCCACTAGGGGGGGAGTGATCTGTAGCGGTAAATAAATCCCCAAAATAAATAGCACTAAGTTTTCGACATTGGATGCTGACCATATGTTTTAGTGGACTCACCTAGCTGAAGGCGCTCGGTCAGTCATCCGCACCAGATCACGTGTGGTAACGCCGTGCTCAACATCAACCGCAATCGTTAGCCAGATTAGATCAGAGAATTCCGATATATTG